ACACACGCACGCACACATCCTAAATCCCTGAGAATGACTAATAGCACATATTAAGTTCTACAAATACTGGTGGTATGTTTGTTATCCTCAATATATAAGATATTAAGATGTTTTTGGCATGTGTGTCTCACAAATTAGAATTGTATGAAGTTACACTAATAGTTCAGGAGCCTAGACTTCTATTGTATTTTCAGATTATCTTCAGAGAAAAATAATCTGCAGAATAAGGAGATTCTAAGAAGGCCCACCCTAGTACACATGGGTTACAGTTTGGACTAATCCAAAGACATAAAAGGAAGGAAAACAAAAGTCAATTAGCAACACAATGTCAGAGCCTGGAATATAAGCTGATAGAAGCAGGATTGAAAGGAGGTAGCAGAATCTCAAGGAAGAAAGAATGGCTAGATTTAAACTAGGTCTTCATCTTGAAAACAAGCCAGGAACGGCAGAAAAGGGAGAGGAAATTTAGATCTAACACACATATTTGGCAATATATAAAGCAGAAAAGAAATAGAACAAATTCTGAGTCAAATGAAGTTGTGAAGACCCAGCTGAATCAAGGTGAAAATTCCCAAGTAAGCTCAAACAATTATGACAATGTGTGCTGGAAGAAAAGATTGTTAGATATTAAGGACACAGAAAATGGCAATGAAAGGTTCTGGTTATGTGGACCATACATTCTGGCTGCAGTTATTGGCAGGTACAGTGAAGGAAAAGCAGACGGAGCTTGGCATTAGGATGGTTTCTGAGGTCGGGTAGGCTTTGGGGAAGATTTTTAATCGAGTGATTCAGGGAAGGCCTGTATGAATTCAGAAGTAGCAGAATGTCCTGCCTCAGGATTGAATGCCATGAGTTTAACGACAAGAGAGTGACCTTTTTTTATTTTTTTATTTTTGCAGGAACAGTAGAAAGTAAAGAGCATCAGACAAGCCAGGACCTATGGGTAAGACTCTGAAAGGTGGAGTTAGTTGGTGTGAATTTTACCTCATGCACATTGAAGAGAATTGAGTAAAAGAATGTTATGATCTTTTTCTTAAGTAGTTGTACAAAGGAGATGCCATTCAACAATGATTACAATACACAATGTTCTCTTAATCAATGTCATACCTATTTCCAGGCTTCTCTGACTTCTGGGTAGAAATTTATGAAGAATAGCAACAAAATTAACAAGAGGAGGTGATATCAAAAGTCCAGGCCACCAAAAATAGGAGTTGGTCTTTGTTGATAAGCTATGGAAGTATAAAACAATAATCCAATGTATGTTGAAGGTCAAGCCAAGAGGCCTGTTTATAAATGGATGCACCCCAAGAGAAAAACAATAGCAATCTAGGATGAGCTTAAGTTTAGGGGCTTGAAAGACAAAAAGAAGAAGGATAGCTATCCTTCAGCTCAATGTAGACTTCATTTTCCCATGGTTCTCTTGAGAAATAACTGTGCTAGGTTCTCATTTTTCAATATAGTTTGTCAACTTTCTTAAAAACTAAGTAGATGCTTATTTGCAACTCTGGGCATTTATCCCAGAGAATTAAGAATTTATGTCCACACAAAAACCTGTACATAAATGTTCATAGTAGTTTTATTTATAGAGTCCAAAACTAAAAATAACCAAAAAAATCCTTTGATACATGACTGGTTAAATAGTGAACATCCAAACCATGAAATGCTACTCAGAAATAAGAAGAAACTACTGATCCATTCACTTTAGATAGATCTCAAGGACATTATGCTGACTGGTAAAAGCCAATTTCCACAAGTCACATTTTATGTAGTTCCATTTCCATAACATTCTCAAAATCACAAGAGCACAGAGAAGGAGAAAAGATCATTAATTTTCAGGGGCTATGGATGATTAGGTAGATTTCATGAAGAAGATCTTCGTGCTGGTGGCATTGTTCTATATTATGGCTGCAGTGGAAATTACAGACATCTACACTTGTGACAAAACAACATAGAAAGCAGCACCAGTGACTCAAACCTTTAAGCCCAAGCTACTAAAGAGGCTGAGAGCTCAGGTTCATGGCTTGAAGAAGAGTCTATGAGACTCCATGTCTAAAATAACCAACAAAAAGCAGGACCAAAGCTATTGGTCAAGTGGTAGAGCACCAGCCTGGAGCAAGAAAGCCCGAAAAGTGTGAGGCCATAAATTCAAGCCTTGGTACTGGGAACAAAAAAAAAAAAGTAGAGCTAGACTGATGTCAATTTGACTTTGTGTCATAGTTATAGAAGATGGAGGAAGCAAGGTACAGAGAATAGCAGGCACTCTCTGCAATTTCTAGTGAATACAATTACTTCAGGCTAGAAAGATGGTTTTTAAACTCTAGCTATGCATAAGTTTAAGCCAAAATGTATTTCATAAATATTAAAAGCATCAGTTGAATTGCCATCAAGATTTCCATACACATCAGGACATTTTTCTCCTAAAAGCCTCTGGAACAAGCAATACTTGGTTTCTAACTCCTCCTCTGACTGCTAGTTATAACCCACAAATAGGACCTATACACTGTTGTTTCTGCAGCTGGATGTAGAGGATTCGAGTGGTAGAAGTGAAGTAACAACTGATATTAGAGCTCTAAGAGCTTTTGGACATTCTGAACTATGAACTACCTGCTTAGTGAGGGACATACTATTGGCCACCCAGTACCTAGGCATGCTAACATGATTCCTACCAAAACTAAGATCTAAATCTTGGTACTACAGAATCTCAAGAAACAATGGGACAGAAGGGAACCTTACTTCATTGTTGGTGGGAATGTAAACTTGTTCAACCACTTTGGAAAGCAGTATGGAGGTTCCTCAAAAGATTTCACATAGAGCTCCCCTATGACCCAGCAATCCCACTTTTGGGCATTTACCCAAATGTTTACAAACAAGACCACACTAAAGCTACCAGCACAACTATGTTTATTGCAGCATTATTTACCATAGCTAAGATATGGAACCAACCCAGATGCCCCTCAGTAGATGAATGGATCAAAAAAATGTGGTATATATACACAATGGAATTCTATGCCTCCATCAGAAAGAATGACATTGCCCCATTTGTTAGGAAATGGAAAAAATTATATTAAGTGAAGTAAGCCAGGCCCAAAGAAACATAGGTTCCAGGGTTTCCCTTATTTGCAATATCTAGTATATGTATGAGTCAAGCAGAAAAGGTCAGATAAGGTGATGTTAGGGAAATGAACCATAAGATATGTATTCAAATGTTTTTTCTCCCTTTCATGCGATTGTTTCTAACACATGTATAAGATTATTTCTTTGTTGCTTTATATCTCCCTCCCCCACAGTATAACCCCTGCTTTCACTGTATTTGATGTTGGTATAATTTGTGGAGGAGATGGGGAAAAACAAGTCGTTTAAGGATACAGGTGGACTTGTTGCAACACTGAGAAGTACAAGTTGTACGTTGGTACAGGGTGGGGGTGGGGGGAGGGGAGGAGGATTGGGTGGGGGGGTGGAGGGGGGAGGCTGGGAAGGGATGTGAAGGGTAAACAAAGGAGGAAGCTGCAATGCTTGGTAAGAAATGTACTCACTATCCTGCCCATGTAATTGTAACCCCTCTGTACAGTATGTTCATAAAAAAAATTAAATTAAAAAAAAGAAACAATGGCCCAGAACAAAAGCTATAGAATTATGATTTAAAGGCTTCTGATGTACTCACTCACACATCCAGTAGAACATTCCTAAAGTGACTTCAGAGCTCAGAACTCCACGTGCATAAAACCACCAAGTCAATATCAATGAGCAGATGTTGGTGAAGGCCCCTCAACACCTTCAGAACAACTTCTTAGTGTGCATTTCCTTAGCATCCTTGTCTATTCATGCCAACCAGTGTCCACTGGAGGTGATAGCATACAGCCTTTGGCCCCTTGAAATAGCAAGCTACTTTCGAGAACACCATTAATACACTCCACACTCAGGCATGTGTGCTAAATCTTAGAACCCCGTCACTGTCAAGTGGACTTGCATTTACTTACCCATTCTTTTCTTTAGTGATAGCTTCAACTTAGCATGTTTGTAACCAATACTACATTTATAAACCTTTTTATTCATCTTAATACATAAACCTGGTTCCTAATACAATCTTTTTTTGTTGTCAGTTGTGGGGCCTGAACTCTGGGCCTGGGCACTGTCTCTCAGCTCTTCAGCTCAAGGCTAGCACTCTACCACTTGAGCCACAGTGCTACTTCCATTTTTTTCTGCTTATGTGGTGCTGAGGAGTCAAACCCAGGGCCTCATGCATGCGAGGCAAGCATTCTACCACTGAGCCACCTTCCCAGCCCCCTAATATAATCTTAATACATAAAACTGTGCCGGGTACCAGTGGCTCACTGGTGTAATCCTAGCTTCTCAGGAAGCTGAGATCTGAGGATCGTGGTTTGAAGCCTACACAGGCTGGAAAGTCTGTGAGACTCTTATCTTCAATTAACTACTCAGAGAAAGCTAGAAGTGGTGCTGTGGCATAAGTGGTAGAGTGCTAGCACAAAGAGGCTAAAGGACAGCACCAGGTTCAAACTCCAGGAACAGCAGGAGAAAAAAAAACACTTTATCCTAAGTTCAGCTCTAATTTAGAAATAATTCATCAACTAAAATATTTTCAGGACTATGTATCTCATGTCAGATCCTGCCTGGTTTGGGGCTATTTAACATAGTACCAACAAATCCTACAGGACGTACCAGATGCCATTTGGTTCCTTCATGGGAGCTCTCTGGAGTAGAACCCCAGGAGCAGAATTAAGCCAGAGTCCCCATTCTGAACTTGCCTCATTCCAAGCCACACTGTTTTTCATGTGCCAACACATTCTAAGGAGCAAAATAGGTTATCTGGCATTATTTTATACAGTTGAATAAGAATGAACCCAGTTATAAACGATCTAAATGAAAACACCGTTCTGAAGATAAAATAGTTCATTTCAATCCCATCAGAGATGGGAGCTAAGAAAATTGCTAAATAGCAAACTTAACTTTGTTTAAAAAAAAAATTGAACCAAGCTACTTACAGCCAACCATCATCATGGCCACCGAAAACATCTTCTCCACATCTGTGGTGGGAGCTATGTTTCCAAATCCTATGGTTGTAAGGCTTGTCATGGTAAAGTAGAGAGAGGACACGTACAGCGAGTCCTTGCTGGGGCCTCCTTCCCATATTCCTGCACTGGTATTGTATCGATATGGAGTCCCGATGCTCAAGGCCAGCTGGTAGAGCCAACTGTCTATTTGGATAGTGTTGGTGACTTCATCAATGACCTCATAGTCTCCAATGCTGTACCAGATGCAGGCCAGCCAGTGGGCGACAAGCCCAAACACGCACACCAGGAGCACAAGGACTGCAGCTCCATATTCCAGGTAATGGTCCAGTTTCCTAGCAACGCGGCCCAGGCGTAACAGACGCACCACTTTCAGAGAGCTGAAGAGACTGCTGATTCCCTGCATAAAACGATAAAAGAAATCACAATGCATTTCCAGAAAAGAAAAAGCTGGGAAAGCAATACTATGGGGTCACTTTCATGGATTTGAGTAGCTATTTATAGACTAGAAATGTACACATACTAAAAGTCTGACTTAAGCCAAAAAAATAAATGGCTGTAAAAACTTGCAAATTCCTTCCCACCTAGGAGCATAAAATACCTTGTAACTATACAAGATTAAACAAGTTTCCATTAGCAAAGGAATATCCAATTGCTTTTTATATGTGCTGCATAAAATAAGCAAAGAAAGACAAAAATGTTTGAATGCAATATACACATAGACAGAAGGGTGATGTATTCAGACCTTTTACTTCTTCCTATAAAATTTTTTCTCTCCACTGAAAGGTTTCTTTTTATGTCTTACTTTGTAATAGCTACAAACAGAAGAACCTCTGAAAAAAGAAACCCAATTTCACAAGCAAGAAAACAACAACAGAAACCATGGACAGGAAATCCCATAGCTGGTCCACTGTGTCCCATCACAACCTTGACACTAAATTTATAGAGTTCTGCAAAACACAAACAGAGCTAGGATAGGTTAAAAGGAGAGAGCAGCAAAAATATTCTTATTTTGGTGGGAAGTTTAAAATGCCAAGCAAAATACTGCCACTTGAAAACATGAAAGCTTTATGAAACCAAGGAGAATCTCACAATGACTTTTTGGAAGTGTAGAACCGTCCATCTGAGGTGGTGGAAGGAGGGAGGCAGACACATTCCTGATAACAGATCAGGAAAACAGGCAGAAAGGGAAGCTAGCACAATCACCTGGGAAGCTCTCATATGATCATAATCTGAATATCAACTAAAGTCCATGACTTCCTGCTAACTCAGTCTCCCAGAAGATGCACGAGAGGCCAGGTACCAATAGGTATTGAGCTATTTGAGAGGCTATGATCTGTGGATCCCCATTCAAAGCAAGCCCAAGAAGGAAAGTCTGTGAGACTCACCTCCAATTAACCACCCAAAATAAGGGAAGTAAAGCTGGGACTCAAGTGGTAGAGCACCATTTTAAAAAAGCTAAGGGACAGTGCCCAGGCACTGAGTTCAAGCCCAGTATTGTGTCCCTATCCCCGCTAATAAAAAGAAAAGGATATAGACAACACAACATGGAAGAGCTATTTGATGTAGTAAAATGAATGTGACATTAATTCATCCTTAATTGTGGTATAGTGCAAGTTCTTTGTAGTTAAGGTAGAAAAGATGAGGATGTTTTTCCTTTGTTAGACTAGATGATAATGTAGCGATGGTCTGTAGTTTTTTTTAACAATAAAATTAAAAGAGAAAGAAAAGAGAGGCAGACTGCAGAGAAGGAGAAACGGCATATCTAGAAGAAGTGAAAAGCAGTGAGGGTGGTGGGGACAGGGCCACTTTGCGCTTTACCCTGCCTTTTAGTTCACTTTCGCCTCTCAAATGCTGTGTCATACACAATGACTTGCAAAAGTATTTCCCCCCCTTGAACACTTGCAGGAAATGTTTAAAAAAAAGGGAGAGATTGAGTTTTAAGTATTTAAAAGGAGTAGAATTAATAAAAATTGAGATGACAAATTGAGATGATACTTTTCAGCACCTCTGCTGAACGGTGAGAAGGTTTAAGACAGCTTCAGAGCTCTCAAAAGTGGACTTGTATAATTGCAATCTAGAAAAATAAAGTAAGTGTTTGTTGGAGCACTTCTGTAGTCTGGGTTCTGAGTTGGACCCTGGGGACATTAAGACAAATTTATCTTGCTTCTGCTCCAAAGAAACTCATCATAGAAATGCATGAAAAACTCCCAAGTTCTATTTAAAAATAAAAACAGTGCCACTGTAGATACTGTTTCCCAGGAACTCAAATTTTTAAAGGAATGGTGGGGATCTGGTTAAATACTGTCTGTACAGTATTTCTACTTGAAATTCCTCAAGATAAAAACAAAGGGTAGAAAATGCAGACACGAAATCTTTACCCCATTTGAACTAAAAGCATCCACAACCCTTAAGTAAAATATAAAGAAACAGAATCTACTGGAATCAAGGCCCCAAAGGTAAGAAGATACATTCTCCTGATCAGAAGGTGGCAGATTTCTTGAGAGAGATGAAAAAGAATAATGGTAAGGGTAAAACTGACCAAGAAGCATTGTATTTATAAACAGACTTGAAACTCCTTTGGTACAACTACTTAAAGAAAATAAATTAATTAATCAAACGAATGAATGAAGAGAAAGCAGATTTCTCCAAGAAGATGTAGTCCACCCTGAAGGACATCGGCTAGGAAGCCCAGTTATTCAATAATACATTTCCTAGAGCCTGCTCCAACACTACTAAAACATTTCATAATGTTTGAGCATCATAAACTCCTTTTGCCATGGTTCTACACCAACCCTTTCTGCTGGTTTTAAACAATTCCTCAACAGTTATTTCTTTAAAATCATATTCTAAAGCTGTCCTCTGCTTCTTTATGGGCTAGACTTCTCATAGCAAAGGCTTCTAGCTTCTATTTCTGGTCCTACTAGAAATTCAGGTTTTAACTGTCTTTTATTTATAGATCATATCCAGACCTACTTTTCAATGCACACAAACGGAAAATTCTCTCCTGAGTTTCTTATCCATAAGCAAGATGTCTGCTATAATTTCCATTTGGAAGTGCTATAGGTACCCAAGAAGGAACAGGTATGAAAGTGAGTCATTCAAGTCTAAGACAATTCTATCTGGCCCAGCTTGTCCCTCAGACCTGGGGCTAAGTCTCATCTTCCCTGTTTTTGCTATATCTAGGTGGTTTTTCAAAGCCTGAAGATCTCACTGCTCAAAGTTCTTAAGAGTTCAAAAAATATCTACTTAATAAATCTCTCAACAATGTCCCTTATTTTCTGTACCCATGGGCCATGTCTTTGTCATGATCTATGCTCTGTGCTCACATGTGAGATAGAAATAGCCTCTCCATGGCCACTTCTACTTTAGAGGTTGCATCATACAGGCTACCAGCTTAGGATGTTCCAAATGCACCTCTGTTAATCATTTCCCTTTTGGATACACCTTGTCATATTAGCCCATTACTTGTAGGATTAAATATTAATTCCTATTCTACCACATAAAGCTCACCTGCCTACCTAATCAGCCTGGCTCCTCTGTGTGCTTGCATGTTCTTATTATGTGCAGCTTACAGAACACCCTGCTGTTTCAAGCTGTATTGCAGGTACTTCCCTTTGCTTAAAGCACTCTTCCTTCCCACTGTCATGGCAGCTAAGACCTTACCTATAGTTATGACAAACATTTCTCCCTCTATGAGCACTTCACTGACATCATCTCTCTGCTTCTACTATCCTCCTTGTCATGCCCTCCCTTCACTCCCTACTGTGCACATCTCTGTTACAACAATTACCACCACAGCTTTTTACAATTCTAATTGCGTGTATGACATCCCGGGAAATTCTAAACTCCTTGTGGAATAGATCTAGTGTCAACTACAAAAGCTGGCATTTGGAAGTATGTTGAACAGCCAACACATTAATTAAATGAAAGATTAACTTTTACAACACAAGTATATGTGGAGGTGAATTCAGAGGGCTTTGGTTTAACCAAATGCAAAGTGATTTAGTAGTATAATGTAGAGAAGAAATAGCCAATGTACCTTTAGGTTGGATTAATAATAGATGACAGTGAATACCAAAAATAATTCTAATCTCTCTACTAGCCAGACACACTGCTAGTAGTGGGAGATTGAAAAAAAATTATCTCAAAACTCTACTGTAGTAGGGAATGTGGATGAAAAGGAGAATGGATCAGGCCACTAACTACATCTAAATACACAGAGTGTTCATGAGGGTGGAGCTCATTCTGTACACTGCTAAGGTGAATACACTGGGTTATAGTTCCATCTGGAGGGATAGAGGAATGCACCGATTCAACAAACCTTCCCATAAACTTCCTTATATTCAGCCAACCAAAAAGCTAGATCATTGCTACTTGGAAAAGACAGTCAAGACAACAATAATAGTGATAATTTACTATGTGCCAGGTACTGTTCTAAGTGCTTTCCATCTAGTAAATAATTAAATCATCAAAACAATTTATGTGACTAAGTACTGTGAAAACATAGCCCAGAAAAGTTAAGTGATGATGGCAGGTCCCATTTTTTTTTTTGGGGGGGGGGGTGTTAGGAGTAGTGATTGGATGTGTTCACTCTGAAAATTCTGTGGCTGTACAGTTAATATTTTGAATATTTCTCTTCAAGTATGTCACATTAATATTATTTTTAAAACAGTATTATAAAAGACCTAATATATCACCAAAGGGCAATTCAAATTATGAATCTCTTACTCATCATCTCGTGGGGTATCACAGGCAACATGGTATCTAAAGTAAGAGATATTCCGTACTGATGATTCACTTCCCCTAATCTTTGGACTGGACCACAAATGGAATTTAATTAGTTGTGAGCAAAGTAAATTTCATTCTGATAATATTGCATAGTTTTATAGGCTGATCCTCAAAAAAAAGTCTTCCCCCTTTCTGTACTTCCCACCCTTTTAAAACAATTTCTTGATTCTTTACCTTCCACCAGACTTGTCTGCTCAATCATTTTCTGCTTCATTTCACACCAAACTTTCCAATCCTTCTGTGACCTCCTGTGTACTTCAGTGGCTTTCTGCCTCTATTCTAACCTCTGAGCTCTTAGTACACAAATCCCTGCAGTTCTTCTACTAGAAAAGAATACCAAACACATCGAATGCATAGTAGAACACAGCAGGGTTAATGGAGAACTTTCAGTCATCAGCTTTCCACATTCCCAGCCAATTTCCTTCCTAGACAGGTCCCTCCAGCCATAGTAGCATAGGAATAATATCTAGGAGACATCTCTGTGCTCTTAACTCTTGCCTTTTGTATGTGTGTATTCCCACATGGAAAACATGCTATACATTATTGACATAAAAATTATTTGTGATGACAGTCATCTAAGAGACAAATTAATTCTTCCAAAGGATCATC